CGTCCGACCGATGCTGCCTCGAGACCTCTCATTAGTGAATATGTAGCCGCGGTTTGCATAACGACTCGTCGATGCAATACGAATAAATAATAAATGCAAGTTGGAGCGAGAAGACGGCCGCGCCCCCGAGCGGTGCGCGCTTGCGCTCCATGTATCATAATCAATTATTATATGCGAATAAAATTATTATGACCCATTAAGTTTTTTTATTTGTTAACCTTTGAGTGTTCATACATGTAAATCTTGTAATGTAAGAACTATATTGTTCAGGGTTCTTCGGAACATATTGAAGTTTATGTGAACGAACTTTGTAAGTCGATATATACTAATTTGTATGTAAAATATAGGTAATCTGTTTAAATGTTAATGTGTTGGTCAGTTGAAACTTCTATGAATTGAGTAGCGGTTGAAAGTATAGCGTGAGTGATTATTGTATTAAAACACGGTATCATTGTGGTTTGGTTTTATTTTTTGACACCTGCCTACTACAAAAATCGTAACAAGTCGCTTAGATTCGTGGGGCTGGGGGAGCAATCGACTTGACGTGATAAATTTGGGGTAATTCATACTGTAGTGCAAAATAAAAAAAAAACATGGAAATAAACTTTTCAAACTTATTCGAATTGTATGGTACTCTAGGTACTGAATGTGAGTCATTACAGCGAATCATGTGCCCACTATGTAAACTGAACGTATTTTTTATGGTTAGTAACTTGCCGCTATCAATTATCAACGGGGTTGAGGGCGTGTCAGCTATTTGTTTCCATCTATGCGACTATGTACAAGAAGTATATTTTTTTCTGCTTTCAAAACTATTAAAATTCATGAGTGGCATGATAATTTTGAATCAAATTTGTTTCCAACAATACATAAAAAGACATCTCAACAAAAGCGTTACCCTGCTGGCTAAGAGCCAAGTTTTGGGAACCCCAACAGGAACGTACGAAGTTAGGGACGACTAGCCGGCGCCAATAACATCACAATAACACGCACATGTACCTTTAAGGTATATCCCTCATGTAATTTGTATTTAGACCAAACGAGTCACAAAACAACTTGATCAATAGAAATTCATTGCTTCTCTTACGTTTCATTTATTTAAAAAAAAATATAGGCAATTAACCAAGGCCCCGGCGAGATTCGAACTCGCGATCTCCTGTTTACTAGACAGGCGCTTTAACCAACTAAGCCACGGCGCCCATGTTGTAGATATCAAAATATGAATTTTGCTTTTTTATCATTAAGCAAAGAGTTTTTTTTAAACAAAAAAACAGAGTTATATTAATGCACTTAAAAACTAGACGTCTTATAAGCAGGGAAATAAGACATCTTATAGGTAAAAGGAAAGTTCATAAAATTGTCTGAACCGTATTTTCTGGAGGGTAGATTAAAATATATTAGCAACGTGAAACTGTAGTTGGAGCTAGTCGTGGGTCAACAACCAGACGGTGGCGGATCCTTTGTTCGCATCCTGCTCCGTTTGGGACGTTTACCCCGCTTTAAAACAACGTAAAACTTCTCCTAAACGTCAGACTATTGTAAAAGTTATTGATATATTCAAACATATTTTAAGGAGCACCCGTGTTGTGTTGAATACTCGATCGTTACTGCGAAATGGAAGATGAATTCTTAAAGAAGCTGCAAGCATTATACACTGCGCCGGTTAGATCTCAAGGTAAGCCATGTGTAGAAATAGTCATTCTCTTAAATTCATATTGAATTTTCAATTAATCAAAACGTTAATGTGATTATCATACCCCTTTAACTAATCAAACTACCAGCCTAGTTGATTTGACTAATTTCTGCATGTTCATTAAATTAACATAATGAAACTTGAGAGAGGTCTTTGACCGTTGTTCACTTAGACAGCTGCATCTATAGCGCATGCTTACATACTAAGAACTCGGGATCAGACGGCTGACGATCTGCTTACAATAAGACAATTAGTAAAGGAACTAACTAAACTAAATAACTTACTAGTTACCACCACTGTGTTATAATGAAAAGTAAACATAGGTACTAATAGAACATATATTTTTATGCGTTAAACATAAATGTTAACCATGAGAATCTTAAACAATATTTTTACATACAATTTAAAATTGACAAAAAGTCAATAAAACAATGAGAATTGTCCTTAGCGTTCTAGAGTTTGGTCTCCCCAGCTGAAAATCCTAGCTCTGTTGCGTGCTTAACATATTGCAAGTGACCTCGCACATTGCATCAAGAGGTGCAAACTGCATTGTTTTGTACATTACATGTGCGTAATGACCTTTGAAGAATTTCAATCTTTTTTAATTTTAGGGAGTTCAAGACAACGTTGATCTAGTTTTTTTTTATTTACGCGATAATCGGATTATAAAAAAACATAATCCTTTAGTGGCTGCACGTGATCAAATTCGTGTGACGGATACCGTTCATGATATCTAAAACGAGAATTGCAAAGTCTTTTGCACTTGGACCATTTTTTGGTTTAAATTATATACGCATTATGCACATACATATATTTAATACAAATATGGTTAGCATAACATAGAGTTGCACGCTAACCAAGAACTTACTATGGATTCCTATAAGTCATCAGTTCGCATTCTAAGAAATTATGTCAAAGCTAGTACCTACTTATGTTCTCCAGCAAGTACAAAATCCATTGTGAAACTAATTAGCGCCGTCGCTCGATAGGTAATCGATGCATACGAGCAATAGGATCGTGATAAAATCTCTAGTAGTCTGTATATTCGCTAATGCTGTTTTTAATCGTTGTTAAATGAAAAAAAAGCATACGTATAATATTCGAGCAAATTATAATCTTTCTTTATTGATTTTTTTTTGTTAGTAAGTATCTTCATAAGACTATGTTCATGTTTAAAAGTATATTTCTAATTAGAAGACACTAAATGCCATGATTACAGATTAAAACGACATTTTTCAATGAATAAATAAAGATAAGTATTAAATAACAAATAAATCGAAAAGTAATACGTGAAATTGATTAGCTCTTTGAAAATATTATTTTTAACAACATATTTGCACGTTTTTGTCATGTCGCCATTACCTTTCTGCACACTAATTACATTCTACCTCCGTGACAAAGGGGTGGCACTATCAACTATTCATGTTAAGTGCACTTTAATCATAATGCTAACGATAGTAGACATGCGATATTACTAAAGATATAAATATTTTGTAACACTTTATTTACATTGTTTTAATTAAAGCACAAGAGGTCAATAAGAGAAGCATTTTTTGTTTTAGTTATAAACAAATAACTACAATGATAAAATCTCATTTGCTAACGGTTTCACGGAAAGCATGTTAACTGATAAGATTGCAGAATTAGACGAGCAAATCCAATTATTTTTTCCTCATACACGTCATCAAAATGTAATAGGTCACATCCATACGTTTTAGTGGTAATTGAAATACGTCGTGTATACGCTGTCAAGCAAATCGGTTTAATTAATTAATTGATAAGCTCTTTGTTTACATATTACGGGTAATAAAGATATTTGCGGGCAATATCAATGATCAACATTTGTAAAAGGAAGGGTAATTAAACTTGTTGTAACTGTTAAAATGTTACCTAGACACATACATTAAAACTGAACATTTCGCCTCTTCAGTTAAAACTGACAGAAGTATTATACATTTAACGAACTTTATTGCTACAAAACAAGTGTTTAACATTACTGATAAGCCTTTGGTTGTATATCATTCAATTACGTTCATGTTGTGAAATAAATAATAGGGAAAGCCCGTAATCATTTCTCAAATAAGTAGGCAAATAAAATGTTGAATTGTTGATAGCGTAATATCACAAAGGAAACTTTAAAATTTTGCGTTAATTTTAGCGGTTATCTACGATTGTTTATAAAACTACATGTGATAAGAATTACCAGTAAGTGGACAATCAGTATTTCCCAGCAATTATGAAAACATCATTCGATGGATTTGAGTTATCTTAAATCGAATTAAATAATCAATGAGTCGTTATAGTTAAGCTATTGATTCTTCTTACTAATTCTGTTTGATGGTCTTTTAGAAAAGGATTTTATAATCGTATCAAAATTTCAATTGTTAAAAGTAAGATGAATATGATGTAACATGTTAGAGCCTAAAAAATAACAAGTAAGAATACTTTTTGTCGTGTTTCTGGTAGCTGCTAATCGCGCCAGAGTAACAGACTTAATTGAGCTTATTGTTGCTCTAGATAAGGTGCACCCGCTGTGTTCGTATGTGGCGAATTGACTATGATTCCATTGCCCGCTTACGACACGTGAACATAACAATGTTTGTTACGGGTGTAAAAAAAGATTAAAATGCATCAAGTATTACCATTATCTATGCTTTTATTGCCTTGTACCGTACTGGGGTAAGTTAAATATAAATGATGAAATAAAAAAGAAAATCCACTTAAAACTATATACAACATTCGTTTACGAGTAGTATACTCTTAAACGAATGCTAAGTTTAGTATTGGTCGGCGATTACTTTTTCTAAGTTACCAGATGTTTAATATCCTTTTAAGTACTCATTGTGATTTCAATTTCCAACACATGGCTATTTCCTTTTTTACTTGTTTATCGGATTGTCCTGTGGAGAACTGCACAACGAGTTGCGACGACAACATTCAACCACGCTCCTCTTGCATTATTGCGAGAGTGAAGTGATTCAGTAGTCTTGTAGTCATCCAATCCAACCAATCAACATTCAGCAGTCGTTGTTCCGACGCTCCGTTGAACGGACGCGTTGCGAGAATCATCGCTAGCGTATCTACAAAACTTTCGTTTACGATTGTGTTTGTAAATAAAAGGCAATTTCAAAGTTTTAGTGAATTTAAAATATGGATACGTGTCGCCTTTATCACTTAAATGTAACTTTCGATTGTTTACGTTAAACAACGCTTGTCTGTTGTAGTGAAAGTGATAGTACAAAAATATTTACCGGTGATTTACCTGTTTTGACAACAACAAAGGATCGACCCCGGCTTTAAATTAAATGCACATAAATCGTCATCATGGGTAAAGATTATGGTGAGTTTGGGCAAGTAATTATAAAATCATTTTAGTTAATACGAGCCATGTTTATTGTCTTGATAATGAATGACGCTTCCTCATACATTAGTTGTAGTAAACAGAAAAGTGTAGGTACCTACAAAAACATTGAATAAAAATACATAACTAATACTTGAAGTTTCCTATAATGATAATCTTACTATATATAAGTTATAAATTTTTTTTGTTAGTAAACAACAACAAAAATGTTTAATCTACAAAGCTCATAGTCGCTGATACAAATAACTTCATAAAAGTAGTAATTTTCTTTTGTTTCCATGATTATTAAGGCGATGAGGATTAATTGGTCAATTGGTTTAAATGACATCAATAAAGGATGTGCTC